AAAAGAAAGAGTGTGGCTATCAGAAATGGAAGTTTTTTTCTTTAAATATTTTATTTTTATATTTAAAAATTTTGTGATATAATGTTATCGTTGACATTTGAAATGGCAAGCCCATTAGGAACCTGGAAAAAGTGATGTTCTCATATTTGCCTTTTTAAATGATAGTGATTTGTAGAGCTGAAATAATCACTGTGCATTATGTTGATGGCATTTTAAATATATAAAATATTAATTTTGATTAAAAACTATTAAATAACTTCATTTGCATCTCATTTGTTGCTAATGAGTGCAAAAGCTTTACATTTGGAGTGGTGTAAATCTGATACATTGCATTTTTTATGTATTTAGCTAAATGTAGTCATACAATTTTGTGCTGAGAAGCAACGAATTACTGTATTTTTGTTGGATAACTTCTATGCAGTGTTCCTCACACTGTCTGAAATGTGGCAAACACTGATTTCTGCTGATAACTTAGTTCAGTTTGATGCACTTTACTGTCTGTTAAAGATAGACTTTGCTCAATATACTGTATTTTTTCAGCTTTTTCTATTTTTTCAGTTCCTTTTTTTATTTTTAATGCAAAGTGATAATTTAAACATCCAAACTGAAACAACCCACAATTTTAAAACACTTTTGATCACAGGTCATTGTGTAACCTGTTGTTGATCCATGTGAATAGAATAAGGCTTAATTAAAATCTTACAGTATATACTTTGGTGTCCTTTATGTTGTAGTCTTCTATTATTCAAAAGATTTGTCTTTACATTTGTCTGTAGAAATGGAACCGTCGTACGGTTATGCATTTTGCCGTATATGTTTGAGCTTTTTCAGTTTATTTTATTTTGTTGGTCAAATAGTAAAGAAATGAAGCCTATTTGGAAAAAGTCAAGAAATTTTATGTATATGATGTATGTGTATTATTCCTGTTACATATATTGCATATGTTTTGGGTTAAAGGGTGAGAAAGTGTGTTGGTACAATAATGGTACAGTGTACTATGGAACCAGCTACATTGGTACGATGTAAATATTTCATTGCTTTCATTTGTGCGATGTTTTGTTCTTACCTGTGGCACTGGTACAGCATAGCTCGGCACATTCACCAACATCTGTGCTGTAACCTGTGGTAATGTCTAAAATGCAGTCTTCTGTCAGCATCTAGCCATGGTCTCACCCACCATCATTTGGGTCTTCTTCCTTTTCTTGCTAGTGGTCTCTGATGCTCTACTCTTTTTCTGTAAGTAATGAGTTTCTGTGTTTTGCTGCACAGTTGCCAAAATCATTTAAATGTGACCATAAATGTGATCTTGTTATGTGTACTTCAGACAAAAAAATTATATTTACCCCATGTCTGATTTTATTGCAATTTTTTTTATATAAAAAAGTGTATTTTATCAGTTCTAAACAAATGCTTAAGCTTTCTTGGGGCTGCTATAATGACAGTAACAATTTCATAGTTATATTTAGTTGAATCTGCAGTGTGGGAGAACGACTGTCTATCACAACAAAACAGAACCTGTGCAGTCCCAATCATGCTGACACACATTGACCCAATAATTGACTCAGCTGCTTGGCAATCCAAGTCCAACAACACTGTAAATGTTTTGCAGTAATGGATGATTTTTTTTAGCCCAGTGCATTGTACATATGATAGGAAAACACTAGCTGTTAAAAAGCTCCATGCAGTTTATAACCACAGAACAGATGTGAACTTGTGGCTATAGGAGGCTGCTGTCTCTATCTGTTTAAATGTCTTATGGGTGTGGCACAGTGGATCAGATGGAACTGTTGTCTCTCAGCAAGTAGGTCGCTGGTTCAAATCCCGGCCCAGGGCCTTTCTGTGTGAAGTTTTCATGTTCTCTTCGTGCATGCATGGGTTTGTTTTGGGTACTCTGGTTTCCTCCCACAAACTAAAAACATGCATGTTAGGCTGATTGGTAACTCTAAATTGTCCCTAGGTGTGATTGAGAGAGTGAATGGTTGTTTGTCTCTATGTGTCCTTGTGATGGACTTGCAACCAGTCCAGGGTGTCCCCCGATTCTCGCACAGTGAAAGCTGGACATGGGCACTTGTTACCCCACATGGTCCGAAAAGGCAGAAGCAGGTGTTCAATTTTACTGGCCCGTTTAAGTGCTGAGTTAAAATTTAGCTGTGCTTGAGCACCACCAAAAAGAGGCTAAAATTGCCACTGGTAATTTTTAATGTAGAGCCAAAGAGCCAGATTAACTTGTGCTAGGCAGCATATTGTGAAAGACCTGAAACATCCCTCAGAAGAGCTTGAGTGATTTTGAAGGAACTTTGGGCTTCCACTCCTCCCATGATTGGTTAATTGGCTTGTCTCAGCTTCTCATGTTAGTCAAGTTACCCAGTGGGATGGAGCCAGAGTTTGATCACTGCATGTTTTGATCTCATATTTTCATTTTTAAAAGATCTTGTCCGTCACTGTTAATTTCTTTGGGGTATGAATTGACTCCTTCTGTGGATGTACAGTAGAAGCTGCTTTTTAGTTGCTTCTTTTCCTTTCTAATCCTAGTTCACATTGCAGATGGTAAGGTTGTGTTTTTAACCTAGTTTTGTTTTGTCATCTTTTTATCAGTGTGCAGAGTGCTGTGAATGATGCATGTCCTGGGGCTCTTTTGAGTCCCTGTGGGCTCCTGGAGCGTAGTGTTTGCGTATCTGTGTGTTTTTCTGAGCGTAGCATTGAATGGTGGCTATATTTGGTAACTTTTCCCCAGCTTTAACAAAGCGCTTTTTATTTTTGCTCACCGAGTCACTAAAAAGAGTTATGTTAAAAACAAACTGACTTACAGTCGTCACCTGACAACTTATCAAGCTGATACAAAAGAGATTTTCCTCAGTTTTCAATTTGATGATCTTTTGTTTTTCTCTGTTTGCTCTCTTGAAAGGAGTAGCAGCATTATTTAATTTTTTTACGTGGGGTTCCTGCAAATATTTAAAGTTTGTTTTAGCTCCACCTTTTATCATGTTTCTCAAGTCATTCTTAACCTTGTATTTAGCTTGAACAGTTGAACAGTGATCAGAGCTAGAACAGCTGCTAAGGTTTTTCAGCTTTTCCAGTCTGCATTCATCATCATCCAGTCAGATTTGTCCAATATCAAACTGGTGCTAAACGCTGACAAAACCAAAGGGATGTTGTTTTCTAACAGGAAGTCAGTCCCAGCAGTTCTTCTTTATATCTTATCTATGAATTCAAGGATTCAAGGTTCTTTTTTCATTTTTTTTCCTTTTGTCATTCACAACACATGTGGTACATGTGGTGGAACGAAATTGTGTACACAGGGTGGTCCCAGTTACATCCAACAAATGTATTAAAATGAATAATAAATAAAATAAAGAATGGCGTCCCTATTCAGTTTGTCGATTCTTACAAATCCTTAGGGATTTTATTTGATTCACATCTCTCTTTTAAGCCTCTTGTCGAAAACTTGGTAAAGAAATTGAAAGTAAAACTGAGTTTCTTTTTCAGAAATACATCCTGTCGAACTCTGAACGCTTGGAAACACCTTGTAACTGTGACTTTCCTTCTCTAACCCACCACTGCACCCTGTATTCACTGGTTAACTGGTCATCATTAACTTCACAGACTCCCACTGGTACATTTTCATCTTTAAATCACGTCTTGGTCTGTTGCCTTCAAACATCTCCTCCTACATGTCTCTGCATGAGTGCAGCTACAGCGTGCGCTCTCAGGACATTATTACCTGCAGTGTTCCCTCAGTGAGGACTGAACTAGGCAAAAGACATTTTGTTACTTTGCTCCTGTTTCCTGGAATATCTTGCCAAAAGATCTGAAGCTGTTGACCTTGACCTCTCTAAGGGATTTTAAACAGTTGTCAAGTTCATGGCAAAAACCAATGAATACATGTTCCTGTTTGTAGTTTTTTATATCACTTTATAATTGAGCTGTTTTTGTTTCCATTTATATAATGTCTTGTATTTAATTTTTCATTTTATATGCTTTTAACATGATTGTCTACTGTAGTCTGTACCTCATCCGTGTTCTTTGTTTAAATCAGGTCTCTCTTGTAAATGAGTCCTCGTGGCTCAGTGTGACTAACCTGTATAAATAAATTTGAATGAATTAATTAATTTATATATTTTCCTTTTTTTTTGCAGTTTGACAAGTTACATGGTTTTCAAGCAGTCAAAATGGGGTGCTACCATTGGAAGCAAATTTAGTCAACATTTAAGTGTGCAAATTTCCACATCAGTACCAGGACATAAAGTTCTTTAGCCAAAGTTCAAGAGCAAGACTTTTTTTCTTAACCGTCTGTTTTGAAGTTTTTATCTCAACACATTGTCATGATGTAACCAGAAACATGAAGATGTAACTGTATCACTTGATACATTTGTCAGACAGCTTGCATACCAAAATATCAATGCGTTAATTTAGTAAAAATATTTGATCATTTGTAAAATAAAATGCACATAATATTTTACATTTAAACTATCATGTATGGTGAATCTTATTTAAATGTGTCACCCTTACAGGGGATGAACTAGTGGAGAAAAAAACAGAAGTGACGAGATGAGATTTAGAAAAATGTTTGACTCAAACATAAATATTTTCTGTCGCCCTCCTTTAAGTCCAGGCCCACTGTTCTTTTCCCATTTTGGCCGACATACAGCAATGTGCCGGCTGAACGTTTCCCTAACAGTTAATCTCTGCACACAAAAGGGCACTTTGTTGTGGCAGCTGCTTGACTACAGTATGCAAATATCTTACTACATGTCCTTTTGAATGTCTTTGCATCCTTTTTACCTGATTTCATAGAAGCTATTTGTCCAACATTTGATGAGCATGAAGCGTTAAAGCTGTTTGCTTTTAATTTATTCTTTTTTCCCCAAATCATGTCCTGTATAAAGATTAATTTGAACACAGCCAATTGGACAAGTAACTAAAAGTGTTGCCTTGCCTCCACCCCTTCCCCTCATCTCCTCTCTCCACCCCTCTCTGCCTGTCACGTGTTCTTTTCACAGCTTAGAAAAGTTTCTGGATTAAGGGAGAATTAACACAAAGCAGCGACGCCACTTCAGCTACACTTGCAAACGACACAGACGGAGGGGGGGACCTTGACAGAGATCCCAACGTGACGGGGTGAAGGCACTCGAGGGAACCTCAGGCACCTCACACAAACTTCCAACTCTGATAAGCGAGAGGTGGACGGGTCCATCCAGATTAAGTGAGAACACAGCTGAGAGGCAGAGGATCTTTGCTGCCAGGGTCCTGAAGGATGGAGGAGAAGCAGTTTGCTGGGATCCTGGTGAGTTTTCACCTTGTTTAGTGAACAATGCACACACACACACACACACACGTGTAGTAGCACATGGATACAGCCACATGGCTGTGGCACAGTGGCGGGATGCAGCTGCTGGACCACCAGTTGAGCCGCTCTTTGCCTCCTTTTCCCACAAATTTTGTGTCAGGTAGCTTCACTGCATTGTGTGATTTTTTTCCCCCTGTATTTAACAAAATATTTGTCTTCATTCCCACAATGGTTCAAATTACTCAAGATATACGGAAGAGAAAACTTGCGAGTCCCAAACTTACACAAAAAAACCTATGGTTTCTTCTGTTGGTTCTCATCCTTTTGTTCACCATGGTAACGATAGCTACACATAGGCAATCGAACCACGTCCTAAAAGTTTGTCATCATCTAGGATTTCTTCACTCTGTCCCCAAATCTGATTTTTGCCTCAAACAAAAGAACGTGCAAGTTTTTTCTTGTCCTGATTAGAGATAAGGCCAAAGCTAATTTTGTGTGTGTGTGTGTCGGGCCTTGTGTTGACAGCAAAACTTTAAATAGGGTTTTGGTGTAATTGACAGTCAGGTCACTTCTCCCTCCATCTCTGCCCTCAGCCCTTCAGTCCGTCTTAAGACGGCGATTAAAAAAAAAAAAAAGGCTCAGAGCTGAAACTCTCCTCTGACATTCACACTTGTTTGAAGCATTGCTTTCCTTCCTGGTGACATTTTTTATTTCTGTTGTGTACTTTCAAGATTTGCGTACAGGTTTAAATGAATGCAGACATTTTGAAGTAAAGAAAGATGCTATCAGTTTTGCCTGCTTCCCGTTGGATGCTGGAGATTGGATTCTTGCTTCTGTAACTTTTAGTGGGTTTGTTGTTGCGGTCAGGTTTTTAGTTTCAGCTGTCGATCAGCTGCCTTAACAGCTAGACACAGCTAGATTAGTTATTAAGCTTCAGACGTAAGTGACTATTTTAGATATGATATTAGACAAAAAATGGCTGTGGCCAGCCCAAAAGAACTTTTCTATAGATCTCTGTGCATTCAGAGTATAAAGATGTAAGTGCTCCTCAAGAGCCACAGTTAAGAATGAGCAATTTATTCAAACATATAGTCTCAAAATTACTGTGAATTTTTATTTATTTATTTAACCATTTTAGAGGCACCCTATCCCATTCAGTGCACACACACACACACACACCCACCAGGAGTGACTATGAGCTTTTACACTTCTCATAACACTTGCATTTTTCTTATTCTTTTTTGTTGAACAAACCTCTAACCTCAAGTTTCTATTAATCTTGTGACAAATGTACAGTAGCTGCTGACTTTAAACTTGTACGTGTCTGTTGTATGACTCATCAGAGCCCTGTTGTGGTAACTTCTGACATATTCTCTTTACCTGTCCGATTTTGGATTGGATCTTTTTTTTTTGTTGTTTTTAATTGGCCACTGTCAAAGTTTGTGCCTTTTCATTTTTTTATTTGTCCACTAGAAATCCAATTTTCCACGTTCCCAACAGCGGTTTCTCTTTTGTTTTAATAAGGAAGCAGTTTGGTTACTTATTACCACCTTGTGGTGGTGGTGGTAAGTAACGTTTGGCAACTAGCTGCTAAAAATTCAGTTAAAGACATCATAATGGGCACACAAACTATTCAAAACATATATATTTTTTAAAATTTCTAATCACGTTTTAAAAATCGTACACCGTCCCTACTCGTGACATGTGAACCCATTTGACTTTATCATAGACACTCAGAAGTACATGTGAAGGAAAGTTTCAAGGGTAGACAGAAGTAAGAGTGTTACCTGTAGACTTCACCTTGGCTTCCTGCAACCACTAGGTGCTTGTAGATCAATGATGTGTGAATGCACCTGAACAAGCTTTGCTGAGTGGTTAGAGCAGTCATCCTCTAATGCAAGAGTTTGGGGTTCGATTCCACCAGCAGTCACATGCCAAGTGTCCCTGGCAAGACACTGAACCCTCATTGCCTCCGATGTGTGTCCCTATGAATGTGATTGAAAGTACAGATTAGTCTTTGTATAGATCATGCAGAGTGATGTATGGATGGGTAAATGAGGGCACAGATTGTAGTGTAAAGCACTTTGAGTATCTTGATAAGATAGAAAGGCGTTATATAAGTACAGTCTATTTAACGTAGTGTGAATTCATGAGTTGTTTTACGTCCAGAATAAACTTCTGTACAGAAAACTAGTCTGTGTCCTGAACAGAACATGAAATCTCAACATTTTTTCCTGTAAGCATTTCTGTTGTGTTTTCATTTAACTTTGCTCTAGTGTTATCTTTTTTATTTTTTTATTTTTAATTTATGAAGGTAAACCAAGCATCATAAAAACTCGTACAGTCACAGCTACCTATGCACTTGTATGTAAAACCCTTCACTTGTGGTGACTTTTGATGTCTGTGGCCCTCGTCTTCAGGACAGAGATGTCAGTTGTGGCTAGGAGTCATTAGCAGCAAATCAAACAAAGCGTGCTTCTATGTGACGGAGAGAGCATTCAGATCAAATCCTGCTCCCATCGCCAACTGCCGCTCTGTTTCTCCTTCCACTCCACCCTCTCTTTAACATCCTTTATCTGCCTGTTCCCTCTCTTCCGCACCCGTCATTTCACATGAACAATCTGTATTTAACTTTCCCAAGAAATCCACCCAGCTTCACCACTGTTCGAAGAAACAAAATGTCTCGTCTTTCCTCTTCCTAGTATCACTTGTTTGAAAGTCCCTGCCCTTTTTAGTCAAGTTAGATTTATCCGCAATTGTCCAGATGGTTGGTGGATGGACCGGTCGCCGTAAATCTCCAAACACACAAGGCACTAGCTTCCTGCTACCGCTCGCCTCAGCCTTCTTCTGCCAGGACTCACTCCATCCAGACGTAAATGTCCACTTTGAGCAGTCAAAAAGAGCCCCTCGCCCCCTCAATCTTACTGTTGTCTTTGACTGCCCTGGAAGCCGCCACTTCCACCGAGCGGATGAGCAGATGGTGCCCTAGCACAAGCTTTCACTGTCTCTTTGTTTTTCTTCCTTAGTTACTTCTTTAGCACTTCTAGTCTTTAAAACGTCTGCTGTTGAGATGTATGTTGCGGGATGTGAGGGTAGGAGGAGAAGAAGGAGGAGCTGGAGTGCTGTGTCGCTTATTTGTCTGCTCAGAGCTATAGTCATCTGGCAGGCTGTGCGGGCCAAAGCTGCTCCTCCATCACCATCAAGGCCAAACGGGTGGAGGTCACAAAAATCTGGACTGTGATCAAAGTCCGTCGGCAAGATTTTGAACCTTACATCCACGGTTTGTAAGATTTTAGACAATAAAAAAAGCTGCCTGGGCATAAACTTGAGTAAACAAAAGAATATCACTTGGAGATAATGTTTTTACACTTTTCAACACATTTTTCAATCTAACAATTTTTGTTGCAGCACATCTTCAAACGTGTGTACCCTAGTAATTTTTAGCAAGGCTTTGCTGTTTGTTTTCCATGTTTGCTCGTCAGTTTCTTCATTCCTGACACATCAGTCCAGTCAGTTTCAGGTGTGTAGTGGTGGATACATGAACTTACAATAGTCAGGTCTCTCTTGTAAATGACTGGCTCAATGGGATTAACCTGTATAAATAAAGGTTGAATAAATGAATAGGTGGAATGTTACACTTGTTCTAAATTAGAAAATATTCCCGCAGTCCATTTTAGCAAAACTGACACAGATATTTACTAAATATACAAGAAAGTCAAACAGGAAACTAAGTTTAGGTCAGTCATATTCACTGGCAGTCACTTTGTTAAAAACATGTTAATGTAAAGCTGTGATTGCACTTGTGTGTTTGTGTGTGTGTGATTTCCCAAGGGTTGTGAGTCTAATATGTGCTGTAGGCTGTGAAGTGGAAGACTGATGGGAAGAATTAATGGAACCTACAGCCAAAACTTTCATGAGGGCAGGAAACAGACAAACACACACAAGCAACAACTTAACAGGCAACGCACCTAACACACTATAGAACTCTACAAAAACTAGTTTTAGTCGGAGCACTGTGTGAATAAATCTGCAATCACTATTTCTGTTAACATATTTTGTTACAGTTGGTTGCACATGCATTCACTCCTGAAATTTAAATTTCTATTCACAAAACACACATTTAATTAAGCTAAATGGGAAAACAACTTGTTTAGAATAATTCCAACATATAAAACTTAAAAGTGGTGCATGAATTTGTATTCTCCCTTTAATTACAGCAGCAAGTGTCCTCACTTATATCTTTACAAGCTTTGGCACAGGACTCTTGTGCTCCAGCTTTTTCAGGTTTGTTGAGTGCTGCTTGTGTTCAACCATTTTAAAGTATTAGCAGAAATGTTCAGTTAGGTTGAGGTCTGGGTTTAGACTGACCCATTTTACTGTTTGTCTTTAAACCAGTGGAGTGTGTTCAGGGTCTTTGTCCTGAGGACTCAAATTAATATCAAGACTTTTGCTAATTTTTTTGCCGTCCCATTTTTTTCTTTATTTCTGACCCTTCCCCAGTCACTGATAATGAAAAACATGCTTCACTGTGGATGTGGCGTACTCATCAAGTCAAACTTTATTTATAAAACACATTCCACCTACATTGATCAAAGTGTTGTACAAAGAGGGGAATAAATAAAACCTGCAATTTATCCAAAAGTGACAAAAATGAGCACAAACACTATGAAATTCCACATCAGCCAAAAAATAAATAAAAAACAAGTTAAAAATCGAGGTATCCTGCGAGGTGTTAGGATGCACTGATGTCGACTTTGGAAACATTTAGAACAGATAATATAAATATATGGGTTGTGATGGAAATGGGGTTTTAAAGCAAAGTGCGTAAATATACACATACACAACTTTTCACTTTCATATATTTTTTTACTTCATTATCTAAAGTATTTTGTGTAAAAACTGTATATTGGTAACATTCAAATGAAATGTCCCGGTTGAAAGGAAACAATATGGAAAAGTGGTGAATCTTAACAATGTTGAGTCAGGTTCTGTGGACG